TGCTGAAGTAATCTGTGAGTCGCTTCACATTCGGAGTGGTGTACTTTCGACTGTGCGCAGAAACCATCTGAGCCCAAGAACAGAGACAGAACACGAGCGTTGCCCTAATTATAATAACAAAAAGACAGCTTCTTCTGCAGCACCTGAAAGACTCCATCTTTGTTTACTTGGAGATCGTGTTCTTGTCTCTCTGTGTGTATATATGTGTATATATACGTGAGATTTGAGGGTAAATTTGGAATTTGTGAAGGTCGAGTTGTAGACAAGCTGGCCTCCTCTTTTCGGCTTTTCCATGTGCGCTTACATTTCATAGAATCCATCGTCATCAAGGGATTTTGTCATGTTACAAAAGAATGTAAGCATTGTTATATTGGCACAAAAAGTCGAAATAAAGATAAAATTACAAAAACAAAAAATGGTCCAAATCATATACTAATTCAACGAATTCTAGATTTTTTTATATTTTAAAATTTGTGAAAGGGTTTCGAAATTTATATATTGATGAATGTTTTTTTAGGAAAAATATATCTGAAAGGTATTATTTTAATTTAACTATATTTCGGCAACTAACCGTTTTTTTTTTTTTGCAAATAAGACATGATGCTAACATTGTCTTTTCTATGTGACGGTGGATATAAGAACAATTCATATATTCAACCATTTAGGACCGTTTACAAGATAATGAGTATCATTAATGTGTACCATTAGTAAAAAAACATGAGACACTAATCCAACCACTAGTCCTCATCATGCTCTTATTCGAAATAACATAACACAATTATCAACCACTAGTTCTGAATTCGGACCTTTACAAGATAATGATGAATATTTATTTATATTTATATTTATATTTGGGATTCAATCTTGGTTCAAATAGTTGTAGAATGGTTACCATAAATCGTACACTTGAAATTGGTTATGAAATGGGAATAAGAAGGCGATGGAAATTAAGATTGTATTCATCTTGTTGTCATTTTGGATTTCATTTTCATATATGTACAAACATATTTTTATTTTCATTTTTATGTGAAGATGATATCCTCTAATTTGCCTTCTTTTAATAATTTTTTATATTTTCTCAATTTCGGTAATTTAAAAAAAAAACAAAAACATTACCGTTTTATTTAAGATATTAAGGTGTGGGGAGTTTTATTTAAATTTCATGCTATATGGAAATAAGTAACAATAGTATTTCATTTTACGGTACAGACAAAAAACTAGAAATAAAGGCGAAGACAAAACAAGAAAAAAAAATATTACAAAACATACAGCCGTTATTGTCAGCAAATTGTATTCAGTATATTATAATGCATAAAAAAATACAGATGAAACCATCAGTAAAATCAATCTAGCGTATGAAATCTTTCCGCTGTAATTCTACTTTAACCGTATTCGTATATTCATCTCCTAAATTCTAACATTTAATGGTATTTTACTGTATAACTTTTTATTGTTTTGGGAATAAACACGAGTCGGTGAGAAAAATCAAATTGAATAATAATAATAATAATAATAATAATAATAATAATTAATAATAATAATAATAATAATAATAATAAGAGAAGTTGGGTATGAGGAAAAGACGAGACAAATTGTGATGTTTTAGTTAGTTGACACAGCACAACAAAAGCTGGCATGACAGATGGATCATATCTCTCGCAACCTTAACCAACCAATCAAATCTAATCTTGTAACTAACTTCCCATATATATATATATATTTGTAATTGAAATGGTGTTTAAGATTATATATATATATTGGGTCTTGATCAAATTTTTAAAAAAAAAAAAAGCATATCGAAATTTGAGTTTTAGAAGAATATCGAAAACTCGGTATCTATATTAAGACAACTTAGAAATAGTATGTGGATTAGCCCACAGTCTTTATTTATTTGGTCTTGGTCCAAAAATCAAATTTGGCTCAAAACTAAAACTAAATATTTTAGTCCAAAACATATATGGTCCAAAACTAATGTGGTCCAATAGCTCCGTTCAATGTGGTAGTCTAATCAAATCCTATTTTCGTTTTACCATCGAGATCGGTTTCTATTCTAACAACATCTATCGATTGCCACATTAATTTGAGTTAGTGATTCAAAGATCTACATGTCATAATCTCACGTGTTATCATTTATCTCACCATATCCATTATTAAAAAGAGTATGGAACAAGTCTCGCTTCAAATTTGATCGCTTTCTCGATATGTATACTACTACAAGAAACATCCGATATTGAGACGGAAAAATCCGTCGTAAATACAAATTCATTTTTCAAAATAAATCTCTCAGATTATTATTGATATATTTTGAAAATTATGGAATCATTTTAAATATTGAAATTAAAGTTGATTTTGTATTAATAATAAGTTAATGATAAAGGTGAATTTTGAATTGTGGTAATGGTTCTATGTTTAGTGATCTATTTTACGTTATTTACTAAAATCCTCGGAGAAATAGCGTCAGACAAATTGAACTCGAACGGGTTGCACGTCACTAGGGCATGCATGGCAACGGTGAAGGAATCGATCACGTCTTTCAATTTTTATATAAGATTTCGGTCCAGTTTTTTTTTAAAAAATCATTTTAAAATTTGATTAATTTGGTTTAGGAATAATTATATTCAATTAATTTTTAAATGGGATTTATTAAAGAAAAATCCTAAAACAAATACCTTAACTTCTCAGTTTTTGCAAAATAAACCTAAACTTTGTTTTTTATCAAATAAAACCCAACTTTATTTTTTAGTAAAAAATAAATTTAGGTTTATTTAAAATTTAATAATCAAATTGAAGTTTTATTTGATAAAAAAAAATAAAATTAAGATTTTATTTTGTAAAAATTGACAAGTTCACATTTTTTTTGAAATTCTCCCATTTATCGATTACAATTATATACTGTTCAACGTATCATAGTGTCGGATGCTTTTATCATAAACAGATTATTAAATAAAAACACATTTCACTCTTTCTATATAACAATTTATCCGTGAACTTTGAACTCTTTTTTCACTGACCAATTTCCATTTTAACCCAACAGTTTGTGGACGAGTGGTCAGCAGTTGGGTGCAAAGCACTCAGAGGTTGGCGGTTCGATTCCTGGTTGGGGAGGGGTTTTCATATGGGCTGCTCCGGTCATCTGGAAGATATAGTTGGACCCGATGAACTTCTAAATTATAAAAAAAAAAATTATCCGTGAAAGTGACCCAACGATGTTTGATGTCTTAAAAAACAAAGGTAAGTAGTTTCAAGTGGAGTTTATCCATATCATATAAAATATGTTCAGGCAAAGTGCGTGTGTGTGACACACGGTCCATACATTTGAATAATGATGATAATAACAATAATAACGTTAGGTGCTCTTACAGTCATCCACTAGTTCCCATTTTATTTGTTGCCCTCAACGTATGCCCATATATCATAACGCACTTATCGTTCGTGAGCTTCTATATGCCGATTTAAAGTTTTATATATATATATAACCAATGTAGTAAATTTATGAGATTCAAATTATATCATTCAATCGTCGATTAACAACGATCGACCACTGTTTTCCACCTTCGATATATTTCTCTACGAATCGCTTCTAAAATTATTATCGAACAAGCTTCAAGTTAGAGATACATGTACGCACGCGTATATACACGCATGCATGCACGCGCACGTATTGATGTGCCTATATATGTCTTTGTTATGAAATGTATATATACGTATCAATAATCTTATTTACAAAAGGTATTTTTCAATTTCAAAAAATCAAACTATATCATCAAACAACTCCATAAAATATGCCAACAAATTTGTGAAATCACAAAGTGAGATTTTATACAGCCAAAAATATATAATTTGAGTATCTTTCTACGATTTATTTAAATATCACAATAAAACGAAAAATACTATACTAAGAGGGTCGAATTTCAACGTTAAAAAAAGTTTAATTTTAAATATTAGCAAAAGTACACAATAATAAACTAATGGTTTTATCTTAGCAATGTGAATGAATTTAGTGGATTTTAAAGCATTTTCAGCATACATAATAAGAAGTTCTAAAGCATGATGATTAGTACCATCATTAAGTGGAGTATATGTAAGTGAATTAGTAATCAAATTAATATGACAGTCCTTGGAATTTTATTTTGCGTATATTCATAAAATGGACGTGCTTTACCAAAAAAAAAAAGAAGGATGTGAATTGTAGTCGAAGGGTCATTTGTAGATATAAGATTCGCTACATGCTATTTTTGCAAATATATATATATGCACGAGTAGAAAAAAGGTAATATAAATATAAAACTCGAGTCCAAAGTCATACTCTTTTGCTTTTTAAATTAAAATTGTTTTTGGGTACGGCTAGAAAATTATAAATTTCAAAATGTCTGTGCGAATCGTATTCTTCTATCCGTGCTAATTTATTAAAGGTAATAAAAAATACACAAAGATTTTAATATGGTATCTTATATATATATATATATATAACGAAAAATTGTAAAAATATAAAACCCTACAAGACAATTAATATTTTGTTTAAGTGGGGAAAGAAAGTATAACTCATGCCGCTGCCTTTAGCTGCCATTTATCTGCTTTATCTTTTCCTTGATCCTATTTTTTTTTGGTAAATTATCTTGATCCTATTTAATCTTTAATATTTTTTTTCACAATATCTATTCAATTAACTTTTAGATTTTAGGCTAACAATTGCCTAGAAAGCCATGTAATCTCTAACTCATATATTATATATTATTCAATTGCTTAAAAAATTAAGTCAAATTAATTTTAAATCAGATATTGGAATATAATTATATATTATATATTATTCAATTTTATTAGATTTGATTGTATGTAATCAAAATCAAATGTAATTAACTTTAAATATCTCTAAATTTAGAGAATATCAAATTCATCCATAAGTTTAAAAACATTTATTTCCATAGCCAATTAGTTAAAATAAACCCAAATTTAATAAAAAAAAAATTAATCACATTCTTGTTGTTATTTTCACGCGGAGAAAGTGACACATAAATGATATAAAATGAAGACGGTTAATTGTTTTACAGGGTTTTCAAAAAATAATAAAAAAAGAAATTAGAGCTCTTTTGAGCTCATCGACGATGGTGGACACGTGGCACCGTCAAAAGCTGTCCCTCCTTTTTATCTTTCCCTTTCGCCTTAGCCCTCAAATGGGTTTTCCTCCACAGAGAGAGAGAGAGAGGGGCGCGCACAGCTTTCGGTCTCCACAGTGAAGAAACGACGAAAATGGCATGAATGCGATGATGACCATGATTCTATAGTTACCAATTCGTTAGGGTTTTTGGAATCCGAATCGACGAGCAATTTCCGCCATAGCCAGATCTTCTCACAGGTGTTTATAATGGCGTCGTCTCCGTTCTCTTCGCTGCAACACTGCGACGGCGCAGGAGGAGGCGGGGTTGCTGTAATGGCGAATCCATTGAATGCGGTGGACTCTTACTCTTCTTCTTCGGCTTCGGGTTCTGGATCCCCTCTTAGTGTTTCCGCCGCGCTCGACTCACCGATCCTCATCTTCCTTTTCTTCCACAAAGCCATTAGAGCCGAGCTCGATGGGCTTCACAGAGCCGCCATGGCTTTTGCCACCAGTGAGGAGTATGAAAATAGCGGAGACGTGATCAAGTCTCTGTTGGAGAGGTACCATTTCCTCTGCGGTGTGTACAAGCACCACAGCAATGCTGAAGATGAGGTAGTTTCCCATTTTTCTTCTGTCTATTCGGTCTCCATATCTGCTTATCATCTAGGTGGGCTTTCATGTTGTCTTCCATGGCTGTGATCACGTTCGTGTCTATGTGCATGCAAAGGAAAATAAAATTTGGGCTTCACTTCTTTAGTCCCTAGCAATCTCGACAGGGATGAATCTGTTCTGTTTCCTACAGTGTGTTATTCGAGTTGTCTGGAACCATGTTTTTGATACTTGCACAGCTGAGTTGCAACTGTGTGGTGTGTGATTAATGATACCATCCATCATCTTCCCTAATTTTTTGGTTGAAAATGGGTGAAACGATTGACATAAACAGATAAGCATTGAGTTTTTTCTTATTTTCCATGTTTTTACTTCGGCAACTATAGGTTATATTTCCGGCACTCGATATGCGTGTGAAGAACGTGGCACGGACATACTCCCTTGAACATGAGGGAGAAAGTGTGCTTTTTGATCATTTGTTTGAGTTGCTAAATTCAAATATGCAAAACGAAGAGAGTTACCGGAGAGAGTTAGCATCTCGCATGGGAGCTCTTCATACTTCGATTAGCCAGCATTTGTCCAAGGAAGAGGAGCAGGTGTTTCCATTACTCATCGAGAAGTTCTCCTACGATGAGCAAGCATCGCTAGTATGGCAGTTTCTCTGTAGTATTCCTGTCAACATGATGGCCGAATTTTTGCCATGGCTTGCTAGATCGTTGTCCTCTGATGAATATCAGAATATGCACAAGTGCTTGTGCAAGATAGTTCCAGAAGAGAAACTTCTCCAACAGGTAATTACCGTTCTTGTTGTTTTTTTTGTTAAAGTACCGTTCTTGTTGTTTTACAATTTCTTTTTTTTTTTTTCCTGATCTCCATTTTCTCCTGAAAGAAATTCTGAATCCAAGCTTTGTTACTTGAAGGTTATTTTCAGCTGGATGGAGGGGGCACAAGATTGCCATACTTGCAAACATTGTGTGGTCACACAGAATGTTTCAGTGGATAATGTATCAAGGAAAACAATGGAGAATTGCTCATGTGAATCTTCCAGGTTGGGTAAAAGGAAACATATCGAGTTAGACAAAAACCCTGCTAATTCTACTCTGTCCTGCCCAATTGATGAAATACTTCTTTGGCACAATGCAATGAATAAGGAGTTGAACGATATAGTGAAGGCAGCTAGAGAGATTCAACTTTCAGGAGAGTTTTCTGACCTTTCTGAACTCAATAAGAGACTGCATTTCATTGCGGATATTTGTATCTTTCACAGGTATTATTTATTATTTCTATCTTGCTGTGATATGATTCTTCGTTATCCCTTCAAACATGAGAGAATTTGGAACACTGTTCAATGTGAGACTGCAGTTATTACTGCAAATTGTGTAAGATTAGAAGATTAATGAGGTATGAGTATTCTGATGCATGCACACATGCCCTTTATAACTTAATAGGCTATGAAACAAGAGCTTCTACTTCGTATTGCAGCATTGCTGAGGACAAAGTTATATTCCCTGCTGTGGATGAAGAACTCTCTTTTGCCAAGGAACATGCCGAAGAAGAACTTCGGTTTGACAAGCTCAGGCTCCTAATTGAAAGTGTTCAGAGTACTGGAACCCATTCTTCGTCTGATGTGTTCTACACTGAATTGTGTGCACATGCTGATCAAATAATGAATAACATACAGAAGCATTTCTGTGATGAGGAAATTCAGGTGAGTGCAATCCTATGATGCTGGAACAAAAAATGTGCATTACTTCCTTAAGTGCCATCTATCGAATCAATTTGAGGTTATTGCTAACTCTTCCCACCGTCATAAATTTGTCGTTTTTCAGGTACTTCCTCTTGCACGAAAACATTTTAGTCCTGAAAGGCAGCGGGAACTTCTGTATCAAAGTCTATGTGTGATGCCATTGAAATTAATTGAATGTGTGCTACCATGGTTGGTAGGGACCTTAAGTGAAGACGAAGCTAAATCTTTTCTTCATAACATGTACTTAGCAGGTTATGCTAATCTTGTTTATCTTTTCTTTTACTGTTTTGCATCTTAAGAAATGCTTTGGAGCCCTATTAACGTTTTTGTTTAAGATTTTGTTTGTTCTAACTTCTATTGTTCTCTGGAACAGCTCCGGCATCGGACTCAGCACTGGTTAGACTCTTTTCTGGTTGGGCATGTAAAGGTCGTTCCGGTAATGCCTGTTTGTCTTCCAGTGCATTAGGCTGTTGTTCTGCAAAAATGTTTACTGGAAACAAAGAAGATAATAGTTGTACATCCTGTGCTTGCCATAGTCAAGTTTTTAATGGGGAAGCAGCTTTTCCGATCAAAGCAGATGAAATAGATGATGACACACGGCCTGTAAGACATAGAGACCCATCACTGGGAGATGCACTAGGAGAGGAAAATGGGAGAAAGTTATTTTGCGGGAATCAAGCTTGCTGTGTGCCAGGGTTAGGTGTAAGCAGAACTTATCTGGGAACTATTTCTCTCGCCACTGCAAAATCAATGCGCTCTCTATCTTTCAGTCTCACTGCTCCTCTCAACTCCAGTCTTTTTAAGGAGATGGATCTCATATCCAGTGACACTGGTAATACATCACGACCTATCGATAATATATTTAAATTCCACAAAGCCATACGCAAAGACTTGGAATATTTAGATGCTGAATCAGGAAAGCTCAGTGATGGAGACGAGACATTCCTTAGACAGTTTACAGGTAGGTTCCGACTTTTATGGGGTTTATATCGGGCTCATAGCAATGCTGAGGACGATATTGTGTTCCCAGCATTGGAATCTAAGGAGACGCTCCACAATGTTAGCCACTCCTACACTCTTGATCATAAGCAGGAGGAGCAATTATTCGAAGATATTTCATCTGCGCTTTCTGATCTAAAGAAATTGCATGAAGGCTTGAGCAGTCCAAATTCTTTAGATTCTTCAAATCAAAGTGATATTATCAGGAAGACAAATGAGAAAGCTACACAACTTCAGGGAATGTGCAAGTCCATCAGAGTAACACTAGATCACCATGTTTTCAGGGAAGAATGTGAACTGTGGCCATTGTTTGATAAACATTTTTCTGTCGAGGAGCAAGAGAAAATTGTTGGTCGAATCATTGGGACAACTGGTGCGGAGGTGCTTCAGTCAATGCTGCCTTGGGTTACTTCTGCTTTGACTCAGGAGGAGCAAAACGAAATGATGGAGACATGGAAGCAAGCTGCTAAAAATACAATGTTTAGTGAGTGGCTTAACGAGTGGTGGGAGGGAGCCGAAACCACTCCTAATACAGTGACACCTGGTAGTTGCGTATCGTTAGGTCAGTCAACTGATTTTCATATTATCTTGTTAGTCGCATGTTGAATAAGAATCGAGGGTTTGACCCCTTCTACTTTATACTGTCTTGTTTTTGTGTGCAGACCTCCAGGAAAAGGTGGATCATAGTGATCAAACGTTTAAACCCGGATGGAAAGATATATTCAGGATGAACCAAAATGAGCTTGAAGCGGAGATCAGAAAAGTTTCAAGGGATCCGTCCCTCGACCCTAGAAGAAAAGATTACCTTGTTCAAAATCTTATGACCAGGTTGGTGGTGCCCGATGTCTTGTGGATTGAATTGCAGTGTCTGCCTTTGATGATACTTCTCAGCTCAGCCAACCCCTTATTGCAGTCGCTGGATAGCTGCACAGCAGAAGGCCCCTCAAACAGGAACCGGAGATGGTTCAAATGATGACCCACTTGATCGTTCTCCTTCATTCCGTGATCCCAATATGCAGGTGTTTGGATGTGAACATTATAAGCGGAATTGCAAACTCGTTGCTGCTTGCTGTGGGAAGCTATACACATGCAGGTTTTGCCATGACAACGTCAGTGATCATTCAATGGACAGGTAAATGCGAATGTGTTGTGTATGCTTGGTGTAGATTAGTGTTGCCCTGGGAAGATTTAATCATTTCGAGTTCTTGCAGGAAAGCTACAACTGAGATGATGTGCATGAAATGCATGAAAATTCAACCCGTCGGTCCAGTATGCATGACACCGTCGTGTGGTGGGCTCTCAATGGCGAAATACTATTGCAGCATCTGCAAGTTTTTCGACGATGAAAGGTAGGCAGTATTTCTTCTATATTGTTGTCAGATTTTTGTAAAACCGAGTCGAGATCTCTGTTTGGAACATTTACACTTAGAAGCTTGAGAATATCTTAGGTTTATGTAAAACCCTAAATTACATGCATTTCAAATGTGTTAGGGATGTATATCATTGTCCATTCTGCAATCTATGCCGCGTTGGAAGAGGACTGGGTGTTGATTTCTTCCACTGCATGAAATGCAATAGCTGCTTGTCGATAAAACTGGTGGACCATAAATGCCGAGAGAAAGGCCTGGAGACTAACTGTCCTATCTGTTGTGATTTTCTTTTCACATCGAGCTTATCCGTGAGAGCTCTCCCCTGTGGCCATTTCATGCACTCGGCTTGCTTCCAGGTCAATCTTTCTATCTTCTTTCCGATTTCCGATATCTTCTCTCTGTCAGTTATATTTACCAATGGCATTTTTTCTTTTGTTTCAGGCATACACATGCAGCCATTACACATGCCCGATCTGTAGCAAGTCCATGGGAGACATGGCGGTAAGAAAAGAAAACCCTATTTCCTCGACGATTAAGAGGAAGATCTACATCTTTCTCTCCTCAATTTCCCATTTCCATACAGAATCTACTACCGCCTTTTCTTGTACGGGAAGTTTCAAACCTTAGTTAATAGTTATGTCCTAACAACTTGTGATGCCACGATGTTGGTGGTACAATCAGGTATACTTTGGCATGCTTGATGCTCTTTTGGCTTCTGAAGAACTACCAGAAGAATACAGAGACCGTTTTCAGGTGAGATTCACCGTCGTCGTTATCATCATTATCCGATCGATCTATATTAGTCAGTCTGATTTTTGTCATATATATTTTTTTTGTTGTGTTGATGTCTAAAGGAAATGCTATGCAACGATTGTGAGAGGAAGGGGAGGTCACGGTTTCATTGGCTATACCACAAATGCAGCTCCTGTGGATCGTATAATACTCGAGTTATCAAGAGTTAAGATTCATCAAACCGGTTTCTGCTTTTTTTTTTTTTTTTTGATTCGTGAAAAGATGTTCTTTTGGTCTTTGTAAGCCATGCCACTTTTGGTCTCAATACAGTGTTATAATTAATTTTCAGACTAGTTTAGCTTTAGAGAGAGTGTTGTTTGTTGCCATAAACTTTGTCCGATCACTTGGTTAAGATATATACTTAGTGGATCTATAACCCTTTTCTCTGTTTCTGTAGGCAAAATACAATTAGAAATAGTCACTAGTATAATTGATCTAAAACAAACTATTGAAATTTCTGTGGATGTTTTGCACGATTAATTAGAGAGAAATCGTATGTAAATATAATTTACAGCATTTTGCATCAATTGTACTGAATATAGTTATAGTTATAAAAAAAAAATTTGAAAATGAGTGAAATTATATTCGGTAATCAAGATATTAGTGTATTAATGGAATGAAAAACTAAAGATAGTTATGTGGATTAAATTATATTTAATGAGTAAAAACAGTGGTCTAAATGTAAATATCTTCATAAAAAAGGGTCAACTTTGAGACAGCGAGTGGATTATGGATTAGTCAAACCCTTAAATCTCCACAAACACACTAACTTATACCAAACCGCGACGACGAAGATGCCACCATTAGAGGACCTGCCTCCGACCGAAGCTCTAGAGATCGACAACGGTCTCGCTTTGGTCCCCCGCGTGAAGCTCACTCTCACAATCTACCCAGTCGTTCCGTCCGTCTCGAAGCCCATCGACGAATGGCAGCTCAAACGAGCCTTGATCGATTTCCTCAAGACCTCCTTCGTCCCAGCCGTGACGGTTCCGGAGGAAGATATCGTAGTCCGGCGACACAAGGACCTGAAGAAGCGGAAACGTGAGGAACCCGTTGCAAATGGGTTACTATTCGTTCGCGAGTTAGGGTTTCTGAAGAGGAAGAAGAAGACGGCGAGTGGTGATGGCGGGGAAGATGTAGTGGGTTTGGAGAAGAAGTTTCTGGAGTGGAGGAAGCGTTTGGTGGAGAAGATGGATGACATTGAGCTCAACCTTGAAGGGGTTAAGTACAAGCTTAGTGTTACACTTCCTGTGTCTGAGGATTTCGAGAGGTTGAAGAAGGATTGGGAGGAATTCTACGCTTTTGGGAATTCGGGTTCGTTGAATTTTAGGGTTTAGTTTGTGATTTCAGGATATATGATGTGATTATACATGAAAGAGATAGAGATTTTTACTGGCATTTTCTTTGCAGGATATTCAAGGGATGGGAGGCGAGAACCCGATACGATTATAGTCAGAGGGGTTCCATCGAGATGGTTCGCAGAGCCAAGGGTTTCTTCAAAGCCTTCCATGTTGGTTACACATACAATCTTCTCTACCTTTGGCAAAATAAGGTATAAATTCATTATCCTTGATGTCAAGTTTGATTTAGTTTTGAATAAGGTTGTCCGAAAGGTTCTTTTGCTTGCTCGATAGTGAAATTGCCCGAAAGGTTCTCAGCTGTACATTCTCATTTGTTGTCTCTGATATATGTTGACAGTAAATTTATGTGGTATGTTGCGTTAACTCATCCTCTATAGGAATCTTAATGTTGCCGAGGATGGCGATCTAGGTAAGGATGCAGAAGAGGACAATGGGGATCTTGCATCGGGTCTTCACTGCAAGATTGTGGTTCAGTTCGAGAATTACCGAGATTTTTTGAATACCATAAAGGCTTTTTGTGGCCGTTCAATGCAAAAGGTTACGTTCTTTCCGTTAGCCCGATATCATGATCATTTGATGTTGCCTTAGATACAAAATATCTTAATAGTCTGGGAAGATATGGTAATAATATAGGATGCTTTTCTAATGTTTTCACCATGGTAAACTGCTGCGTAAGACAAATCGTTGAGAAAGTTATGATCTTTTTTGGAGAATTTCTGGAACCTATGCTACTAGCCGGTGCTGCATTATCCAAGCATAGGTTGCGGGTATATGAGTGTTGATTTCTTGAGATTGTTTTGTTGTTCGTGCAGGAAGGTTCTCGGTTAAAGGCAGATTATGAGGTAACATGGGATAGGGACAATTATTTCAGAAACTCGAGAAACCAGACGGTAGAGAAGTCTGATCCAGGAGACAGCCGATACAGGAGCGAGGCGTTCAGGCGCAAACCCTTCTTCTCCGACCACAATGTGGACGATACACGCAGAAAGAGATTCAGGGTATAGACTATATCAACCTTATTTCGCGTATGCTTTTTAAGCTTAATCAATCCAATCTTTTTTTTTGTCTCATTTGAAGTGAAGATGTTGCGTATGTTTATATTCTGTTAATGTGCAGGACTAGAATATCGGCATCATCCATGTTGTTCTTGACCTTTATGGCTCCAACGGGGGGGGAGAGAGAGAGAGAGAGAGAGAGCTTTTGCTTTCTGGGTTTGATTCATGGTCATGAACTCTTTAGCCAAAGCAGACGTTTTTATTTTTGGCAAATATCTCTGTTAACTAAAAAAAATTCTATTGGTTTTTAATTTGAAAAAGCGACATGATGCAAGGAATTCATATCGCAATCGTGTTAGGAGACGCTCTTTTCGCATCAGGCTTGTGCCTCACTAGTTGTACTTGCTTATATCGCAAGCAACCAAAGAATCTCATTACTTGCAACGTGAAGGAACTCTCTCGCCTCCTCTAGCCTAAAACCCTACAGGACTTTGGCATGATTGCTTGTGTCACACGCAACAAAAGACAATTACCAGAGAGGGACTTTCCCGTATCAAAAATTCCTCTGGACATCAGAGCAAATGTCACGAAGAACATGCGAAGAGATGGGTTGCTCTCTAATGCGTGACAACAGGACAGATATCTGCTCAGTCGCAATCTCTAATCTCTCTTTCGATTTGGATGACTCTGAAACCAGTGTCGAAACCAGATTCTGCAGAAACTGGACTCTTCCCACTTGATCATCCTGATTGTTGTGACGGAATGTCTTGCCGAAACCCGCGCTTATCCTGCGCCAACGGAGGGGAAGATACCTGTCCGGGATCTGGAAACAGTTCCCCGTCGACAGAACCCGAAGGGCATGGCGGCAGAGAATCCCCGAGAACTCGAAGTGTTGGCAGCTGCAACTTACGATGCCTTCCTGCGGGACCCAGTAGACTTTCCGGCCACCATCGAGTTTAGTGTGGTGTCTCACGAGATAACACCCATCTTCCATCTGGAATGACGCGTAATGGGCCGCCAGAACGAGTTGTTCTTGGAGCTTGGAGAAGGCGAAAGGCGTGAGAACCGAGGCTGCATGAGATTCCATTGGAGCCCCGGTTTTGAGGCTGATGTTTTGGAGATTCTGCTGCATCGTTTGTTGTTCCGCCGCTTGATCTTTGAAATCCACCGCAACAGCAACCTGAATTCATCGCAAACTTGGATTACTAAATTTGTATATTTATATGGGATTTTCCCTAAATATTTAGTTCAGGCTGAGATTGTGAAAAGATTTTATACATAAACCAAATACGAAGAGCGTGAGATTAACATACTTGTTCCACAAAGTGTGCAAGCCGGGTTTGTGCGCTAAGGAACCTCTGAATGAAAGCATTAATCGCCTTTGATCGTCCAGACAACGTCATCCCAGCTAGAAAATGGCTTCTCAAGTAGGGTAAAGCCCACAAAGGACGCGAGGCAAACAGGTTGTTTATATGCCTGTTTGTGTGCAGCCCGAAAGAATCCACCATATCCCTCCATCCCAACTCGAAATCCTCGACCGTTTCCAGATTGTATAGCCGAAAGAACTCAGCTTTCCAATCGTTGTAGCGTTCTCCAAGAACAGCATTAAACCAAGACGGAAACTTTCCAACGATCATCCATATGCAAAGCGCGTGTTTAGTCGACGGCATCTCTGCAGCCACGGCTTCCTTGATACACATATTATGATCCGTTAACATTGTTTGAGGCGCCTTCCCGTTCATGAACCTAACAAACGCCTTTCATATACAAATCAAAGATTAACAAAAATGTCAGAACAGATGCAAAATGGTGAGACGTTTTCGGAGAGAAGCATCTCCAAGTAAATAAAGGCACTTTCTTTCCATCTAAACGAGCAAGAAAAAAGAATTAAATCAGAAAGAAAAAACAGATACATCCGATGATTTGTTTTGTTACCTTCAGTGCCCATGACCACGATCTCAAATTTTCTTCTCGTAGAAGCACACACCCGAAGAAGCAAGGCATACCATAGTTATTGATTCCGACCCATATTCCAAGTGGCATCTCGACTGCACTTAGGCGATGTGTCGTATCGAATACTACAGCATCTCCAAAGATCTCGTATGACTGAACGGAAGAAGCATATGACCAGGCAATGTTCTCTAGCTTATCATTTGCATCTAACGTAAACTCAAATCTAAAGTTCGGGTCTTTCTCCTTGATGCTCTGGCACATCCTTAGTAAATCTATGCTCTCGTCCTCAGGATCAAGTTTCCTGAACGACTGAAGCAAATTCCTCACATCCTTTTCAGTGAACGGTAAGAAGCCCGGCTCAACACACTTCTCGAGCTCCATAAGCCTCATCATCTGCTGAAC